CGCCCTCCCCCCAACTCTGGCCTCCTCAGCCCAGCTGCCGCCGGAAGCGGCCTCGGGATGCGCTGCCCCGCCTCTTCCGGGGCCTCTCTAGGCCGGAGCGCGGAATTTCTGTGGCCGCGAGAGGCCCAGCACGGCTTCGCGAGGCAGCAGCGCCTCCTGGCGGGTCCCGGACGCAGCGCGGAAGCCGAGGCCGGCCCGCCCCCCACCTCCCGGCAGCCATCTCTTCCTCTCCGCTACCACTGTTGGTTTCCCCCACTTTGCCTGCCTTCCCGCCTAGCCGTGATGCGGCCCGGCCCAGTCTTCGCCGACCGGCCACTGCGTGGCCATTGAGGCCCTCCCTCCACAGCGCAGCAGCCGTTAAGCGTCCTCTTGCTTCGAGCCCTCCCTGACGCCCCATCGCCCTTTCAAGCGCCTGACCCCAGCCCGCCAGGCCCTCCTCCGGTATAGCCGCGCTCGGCCGATCCCCAGAACGTCCCCAATGACACCAGCCTTTCTGCTTCTTCCGGTCCTGGCATCTTCACACGCCCGTCCCAGGACGCTCTCGCTTCCCCCGCTGCTACTTCGTAGCAGAGATTAGACGATGATTTGGGTGATTCTCCCGCGGGGCGCCTTGCCTGCTTTCTGAGGGCGGGGTGGTTCCGTGCCCATCGCCCACGCCCAGCTCAGGCCAGTGTGCCCTGGGGGCTCAGGTGCCCTGCTGAGTTTGACTCCAAAGACGTAGACAGGATAAGGAGAGGAGCTGGGTAGTACTCGGAAGTTCTCTCAGAAAGCTTGGTCCAGGCTGAGTCTGGGGCTCCGGCCCTTTCTTCTGCTCCGGGGGCCCACCCAAGGTCAGGCAGCAGCTGGGAGGCCCGGCCGGGACCCTTGCAATACTCGCCCACCGAGCGTTGAGGCCCCGGCCCCTCCCGAGCTACCTCCCCCTCCCGCCCCGCGCCGAGCCTTCCTGCCTGCCTTCTTTCCATGCACCAGCCAGGAAGCCTTCCAGGACTGCCCTGGAGCCTCAGGGCCGGGCCGCACTGCCTTGGGCGACCATCCCAGCCACCAGGCGGAGCAACGTGTCGGTTGGGTCACGGCGCAGCCAGCTCTGGCTGTTGACCGCCAGGGGGCAGCAGAGGCCGCCTCCCGCAGATGGGACGTGGGGTAAGAGACGGGATTAGGTCTCTGGCTAATCCTGTCCAGGCCCGGCTGTGCGTGGGCAGGCGGGTTAGCAGCCTTGTGTGGTTTTGAAAGCCGTTTTGTTCTTTCAGATTTTTTTCCAGGGCTACTCTTTCTTTTTTTTTTTTTTTCCCTTTTTGTCTTTTTTCGTGACTGGCAACGGCTCGCAACCCTCAGTGTTGCGCCCGCACCTCGCTCAGCCAGTGAGCGGCTGGTCTGTATGTGGGATCCGAAGCCTCAGCGGGAGCGCCGCTGCGCTCCCAAGCGGCGCACTGTAGCAGTGTGCCACCAGGCCGGCCCCTCTTTCTTTTTTTTTCTTTTCTTTTTTTTTTTTTTTTTTGTCATGGTCAAAACTGATCTCTGTCCTAAGCCTGCTCCTCCCATAGCTTTCTGCAGTGGCAGCACCATCCTTAGACAGCCTTGGAGTCACCCTTAACTCATCTCGCCTCTCCCCCCATACTCAGCCATTAGGGAACCCTGCCACCTCTACCTTCAGGACAAGCCTAGCAACTAACCCACCTCTGCCACCACTGGGCTAAGCCACCCGACATGTCTGTTTGGAACAGCAGTAGCCCCTGTTTCGGTTTCACCCTTAGCCCCCCATCCTCCACCCCAGAGTCTAGTCTCAATGCAGCAGCCAGAATAATCCATTTAAAATTTAGAATCACTTCCTAATAAGATCCTGCCCCCTCCTCTGCTCAGGACCCAGCATTGGCTCCCATCTTACCCAGAGAAAAATCCAGAGTCCTTATGGTGGATGACAGGTCCTCACACTTGCCCCCACCTGCCCCTTCTGCCATCTGCCTCTCACTCAGCTTCAGTCACAGTGGCCTCCTGCCTGCTCCTTTCACATGCCTGGCACATTCTGCCTCAGGGCTTTGCACTGGCTGATCCCACTGACTGGACCATTCCCCTGAAGGCATGCACATGGCTTCTTCCCCCCTCCAAATCTCTGATCAAAAGTCCCTTTCTAGGGCCGGCCCGTGGCTCACTCGGGAGAGTGCGGTGCTGATAACACCAAGGCCACGGGTTCGGATCCCTATATAGGAATGGCTGGTTAGCTCACTGGCTGAGCGTGGTGCTGACAACACCAAGTCGAGGGTTAAGATCCCCTTACCGGCCATCTTTAAAAAAAAAAAAAAGAGTCCCTTTCTTTTTTTTTTTTTTTGGCGGCTAGCAGGTGTGGGGAACCAAACCCTTGACCCTAGTGTTACAAGGCCACACTCTAAAAAGTCCCTTTCTTAGTGAGGCCCACCCTGGTCCACCTTCTGGCCCCCTGTTCCCCAATGCCCTTACATTGATGTTTTTACTCACCGTAGTACTGAGCATCTTCTAACAAATGACATGACTTAGTGGTTATGTTTAATGCTTCTTCTTTTTTTATTTTTTAAATGACCGGTAAGGGGATCTTAACCCTTGACTTGGTGTTGTCAGCACCACGCTCTCCCAAGTGAGCCAACCGGCCATCCCTATATAGAGATCCGAACCTATGGCCTCAGTGTTATCAGCACCACACTCTCCCAAGTGAGCCACGGGCCAGCCCTTATGTTTAGTGTTTCTGTTCTGAATCTGATCCCTCACCTAGAATTTAAGTTCAAGGAAGGCAGGGGTCTTCACCTTGTTCACTGTTGTATTTACAAGTGCTCCAAGAGTGCCTGGCACATAGGAAATATCAATTAGTGCTTGTTGAATGAATGAATGGATCCCTTTTCAGTTCATAGGCGAATGTGCAAATGTGCACTCGGGTGGGTTGAGGAGGGTGTGAGCAAGGGCAGCTGCTGGACAGGGAGACCAAGGCCCATGCTTTTGCCCTTTTTCCTGGTCTATGTTGTCCTATCTTTCTGTAACAAGTGGTCATAAGAAAAAGGGTGAAAAGAAATATAGAGCTCTGTGCTGGGCTTTCTGGCTACTCTAACTTATCCCAAACAATGACTTATTTATTTATTTATTTGCAGAACAATTTTTTATTTTATGTTATTTATTTATTTTCTTTATTTTAAAGATGACCGGTAAGGGGATCTTAACCCTTGACTTGGTGTTGTCAGCACCACGCTCACCCAGTGAGCTAATTGGCCATCCCTATATAGGGATCCGAACCCGTGGCCTTGGTGTTATGAGCACCACACCCTCCTGAGTGAGCCACGGGCCAGCCCAGAACAATTTTTAAAAAGCATAAAGAAGGAAAACCCTGGGAAATTCTTCAAAACAGACAAAAATGATTAATGATGCCCAAGAGCCTGTAGACCCATCCTCAGGGAGGTTGTGTTTGGAAATTGACAGCCAGGGAGGAGGGATACTCATTTTCAAAGTCATGGGCTGGCCGGTTAGCTCACTTAGAGCATGGTGCTGATAACACCATGGTCAAGGGTTCAGATGCCCTTACTGGCTAGCCACCAAAATAATAATAAAAACAACAACAATAAAGTCACGTGGGCACTTGGCTTCTGAATTTAGCATAGTGGCCACATCACCTGTCCCCTCCCTGTTGGAGCCTGCTGCCTGGGCAGGCAGAGATGGCCTCTTGGGCCAGGGTCCTTCCTCCACCCCAGCATGTGTGTGTGTGTGTGTGCGTGTGTGTGTGTGTGCGTGTGTGTGCATGTGTGTGTGTATGTGAGTACTACTGTTAGCACATCCCCTCCGTCTGAGATGCCTGAAGCCAGACCTGGTGTCCTGCTGCTGCTCTGACCTGCAGCCTTCTTTGGATGGAAGGAGCGTGAGAACAACCCCGAAGTCTGCCTACAGGATGGACTCTTCCCTTTATTCCCAGGAGCCAAGGGTTCCAGACAGGGCTATGGCCCCATCTGATCAGGAAGAAGCCAGAGACTCCCAGAGGACAGCCCCTCATGCCAGGGCACCTTGGGCTGCATCCACCTCTAGGCCAGTGTCCAGCCCTTTCTTGGGGCCATGGGCTCCTGGATGAGTCCTCAGGATGGAGTCAGACGCCTGGGGCTGATGGGAATGGGACTCAGGAAATCCCCCTGCCCAGCTGGCACTGCCATGGGCCTAGCAGCCACCAGCTTGAAGAAGTCCTTTCTTCAGGGGGTTCCTAAGCTGACGGCTGCTTGCAAGTTCAAACTGGATTTTTCCTGCTGCCCTTTTCTGGGCGGCCTAGCCTGGTGCAGGGTCTCTCCTAATGAGGGTTTGGTGCCAAGGCTTGGGCAGCTCCATCCTGCTGGGTCCCGGTTGGTTCAGGCCCGCCCAAGGCAGTGAGCAGCTTTGCAGTCCTACCCAGGCCAGGACACCTGGGGCTGCCATGCCTCCTTGCAGCCCCTGCCCTGCCTTGAACTCTCCCCTCCCCTCCACCACTCAAGGCCCCACACACAGGAACTCATGAACCCACCTTTATTCACAATGGATTTTACTATTAAAAAGATCACCCCGACAGGGCACAGGATTCCTGGGCTTTTGTCCCCAAAGTCAAGGCATTGACCGAGAGTTGACATGGCAGCCTGGGAGCCAGTGAAAGGCAGAGGGCCCTTCCTGGGACTTCTGTAGGGCTCAGCTGCCCCCAGTTCAGACCCTCCCTGAAGCTGCTGGGGATGCACCTCACGTTGCCTCCTTCCGGAGGCCTCTCTCTGTCCTACTTCCTGGGGCCTCATTAATTCCTCCCCACCTCACCCCGTGAGAAAGCAGGTCTGTGCTGAGCCTGGCCCAGGCCCAGAGCTGGGTCTGAGTGTGCCACTGATTGGTTTGGAAGGCAGGGGGTGGGGTGGGTAGGGGACTTGCCCTGTCACTATTCTCATCCCAAGAAAAGAGACGGGGGGCCTCCATCACCATCCATGTCCTGGCCTCCACCCCACTTTCCAGGAACTCAGGGACCATGGTGACGAAGAATATAAAACACAGCTGATCTTATGTAATAATATTTATAAAAAGGGAATGCCAGCCTCCCCACCCCTGCCCCAGTTTGGCCCCTGGGGTCTTTGGCTCCCAGGGGCAGGACACTCTGGGCCCCAGCTTCTCTCTTCTCCCAGCAGTGGAATGTGAGCTATGGCCCAGGCTAGGGGTTGGGGGAGTCCCAGCCTCCCCAGGACTGGTGAAAGGACAAGGCAGGGATCCCTTGGGTATACCCACACCAGCCCCACCCTCAACAGAACCTGCTGACCCTATCTATGGGTTGGGGTGGGGCCTCCTCCTGTGGAGAGGATGGAAGAAGAAGACAAGAATATCCAAGGACCTGAGCCCAAGTGTCTGAAAGAGGCCTAGGGGAGGGATGGAAGGAGAAAAGGCAAGTGGGCTGGGGAGATGAGGCCCAGGGTGCAGATCCTGGTATAAGAGCAGAGTGGGCAGATGGCTGAAGGCTTGGATTCCAGCTCTACATGCCTCTACAGGCTGTGTGACCTCAGGAGGCAGCTTCTGGGCCTCAGTGTATGCATCTGTGCAAGAGCAGATGAGGGGCCTGGGTGGGATCTGAGGTGACAGCCTTACCCTGCTCCCAGCTGAGAAAGTCCCTGCAGCTCTGAAGCCCAACAGGGTGGTGGCCCAAGGGCCTTGGTCCTTGCTCTTTAACAAAAACCTTCCACAGAGAAGACATGGGGTGAGGCCAAATGCTATGGTGTTAACTGGATCTTTTCCCTCCAATTGACTGGCCACTGGATGGGTGTAGGGGCTGGAGAGTTTGGGCAGGGGTGCCAGGACAAGTAAACAAAACAGGATGGAGGTCACCCTAATGGCTTCCTCCGGGCTGGCTGGTCCCCGAGATCCAGTCAATGATGATGAAGCTCAGGCTCATGGTCATCAGCAAGAAGCCAAGCACAGCAAAACAAAGGGCCTGTGGGGTCACAAGTCAGGATCAGGTCTGAGGTCAGGACAGCCCCCTCAGTCCCACACCAGCCCACCAGCCTTAAGGCCCCTCGCACCAGGATTTTTGGGGTGGATCTTGCAGGCTCCTTCTCAGTGGGCACAATTCGGAAATAGAAGATAGCAGGAAAGATGAAGATGAGGCATGGGGCAGATGTGGCACCTGCAAAGAAACAATGCATGATCACTGCTGGCTTGTGTCCATCTTTCAGCTAAGGTTTGGGGGTGGACCCATCAATGAGATCAAACATTCCTTGTTGGAGGAGTTTCATCTTAAGACTCCACTTGAGAGCTCTGCCTGATTCTGGGGAGCCCACCACCTCTTGCCTTGTTCTCCATCCACCAGGATGGAAGGCTGCTATTGTTGGTGTCAGCAGAATATCAGTGAATGAAGCTAATAACGAGGAAAGGCAAGTCAAGAGATGGAGAGATACAAAGGCTTATGGATATTGTGCTCCTGGATACAGTTATTCCTAAAGGCTCTTTCATTATTTGAGCCAATGTATTCCTTTCTGCTTAATTCATTTTGAGTCAGATTTCAGACACATAGAACCAAGAGTCCTGTCCATGACATTCATGATACTCAGCCCCTAGGTATGTGTGGCAGTCCCTACAGAGTTGGGTTGAGGAGGCAGTCCCCTAAGTTGGATCATTTCAAAGATGTTTCAGAATTGTCCGATCTTCCAGCTTAGAGCCCCAACTGGGATGGGGCAGTGGACAGAGCTCCAATCCTGAGTCCTACGGTCCTGGAACTAGATCAAGTCTCCCCATTCGCCAGCTGTGTGGCCCTGCTGCTTCTTTAATCACTCTTAATTTCAGTTTCCTCATATATGAAATGGACAAGACCCAATGAGATCTTTTGTGGAGGCCTCTGACCCCTGGAGTCCACACCCTGCCCCAGTAAGGGGTACTGACTGAGTGGTTCTGAGCCCTCAAAAGGGATTAGATAGCCTTAAGGACAGAATCTAAAAGCCGGCCCGTGGCTCACTCGGTAGAGTGTGGTGCTGATAACACCAAGGCCACGGGTTCGGATCCTATATAGGGATGGCCGGATTGCTCACTGGCTGAGCATGGTGCTGACAACACCAAGCCAAGGGTTGAGATCCCCTTACCGGTCATTTTAAAAAAAAAAAAAAAAAAAAAGACAGAATCTAAGATGGGAGGCCAAACTGTGCACATGGCCAGTAGCCATCACTTAAATGTAGGGTGTTGAGCTCAGGAATTTGCCAGGAATGAAAATTCTTGGGGGAAATACCCCACTTCCACAGCAGAATCAGACCCTCACCGATGACCCCAAAGATGCCCAGGATGTTGGGGGCGAAGATGACCAGCAGGTTGATGAAGGTAAGCAGACCAGTGGCAATGAGTATGTGCCGCAACCAGTTGAACTCCTGGTTCTGAAACAGTATCTGCTGGATGGCACGGCGCACCTGGGGTACAGGTGGGATGAACCATTAGCCCGTCAGCCCCGTCAGCCCCATCCCTCCCATTGTTCTGGCCACCTGCTCACCAGCTTACCGGGAACAGAACGATTGGCACTGTGAGTGTGACTGCTGTCAGCACAGCCACACGCACACACAGGATCAGCACATCAAATGGGTCCACCCTGATGTAAGTGTGCAGCAGCTCTGACTCCACGCTGTCTGTGGCAGGCAGGGAGGGTGGTTAGCAGGTAGCCCAGGGAGGTAGTTGGGCTCTGAGCTGCCCAGTGGACCCTGACACTGTGGGGAGTGGCACTCAGACTCACCTCCACAGCTGCAGGGCATAGTCAGGAATCACACACCTAATGAGCGCCTACAGTATGCAGGGCCGCCATGGCCACTGACCAACCCCTTGCCCCCAGCCTGGCCTTGACCTCTGCCCCCACTGGTCCAGCCATACCGTAGAAGGTGAGGTAGCCGAAGAGGGCAGCCAGGAAGTACATGACATACATGACGGAGATGGACAGGTTGGAGATGTGTTGCATCTTCTTCTTGGAGGGGCTGTGAGGAATGGGGAGAGGGTGGTGACAAACTGGGCCACAGTGGGAGATCCCATGTGCCCCAGGGTCTTCCTGGCACCACACCCTCACCATTCAGCAGCTGAGAGTGTCTCCTTCTTGCCCCCAATCCCACTTCATGGCAGCCGTGAAGACCTTTAACAAAGTGCCTTGGCTCCTGTCACCCCCCAAACACACACACACCCAGGACCACATCTGTTCTCCCCAAACTAGCTCAAGGCAGCCCCTGCCCCCTTTCCCAGCCACAGACACCTACTCCTTGAGCTCTGTATAGATGGGCAGCACCTCAGGGTGGCAGACAAAAGCGAAGGCCATGATGGGGATGGTGTATGCTGTCTGGGGAAACATGGGACTGTGTCAGAGCAGCCCCCACACCCTCACCAGGCCCCTGTCCCTACCTCAGCCTGTCAGAACCTGTGAGTTGAGTGTGAAGTAGCTTGGGGTGCAGAAGGCTGAAGCCTCAGTCTCAACCTGCACCTGCACCTTCTCCTCCATGACCTCCGTGTAGTCGAAGTTGTCTGTGGTGTTGCCGAAGGAGGGCAGCGGGCAGGACACGTGGAACTTTTTGTAGATGACCTGGGGAGAAAAGGGTATCAGAGCCAAGCTAGGCTGCCATGAAGCCACATCTAGAGCAGGACCGGAAGAGCTGCCTTCTGACTCAGGCTTTCCAGAGGTACATGCCCCTCCTTCTGACAGAGGACTCCTCTGGGAGACTTGCCCCCTTCCCTGACCAACACGGAAGGTGACTCACTGCAATTAGGAAGAACACCATGCAGCTGAGAGAGAAGCCACTGGAGTAGCCCAGGTAGCCTGCAAAACGGGGGAGGGGCACTGTGAGACTGCGGACTCCCCCATGTATCCTTCCAAAGTCCCCCTCCAAGGCCCTGACCCTGCCATACTCACCAAGCTGCCGCATCAGTGCCAGGGGCAGAATGATGATGACAGAGACCAGGATCACCAGATAGTTCCCGTTCATGTACCAGTCCCTGCAGGGATGGAAGTGGGGATCCAGGGTCAGAGCCCACTCAGCTTGGGGTGGAGCCACCTTCCTCCTCCAGTGGACAGTCACTAGTTGGGGTCACTAGTGGTGTTCACAGCTCTGATTCTCCCTTTCCCCATCTGCAAAATGGGCAGTCTTGGTACTCTCTTTCTTGGTGATGTGAGGACGGAGGCAGTGGCCTGGCACACAGCTCATGCTTGGTAACCGTTGCTACTACAGTTGCTGCTGTTGTTTTTCTCAGGACACACACATTTGGCCCAGTCTCTGGAGGAAGGCCGGTGGATGAAGGGACCTGGCTCTGGAGGGGCAGTGTTTTCCATGGGGGCCTCAGGGACTTGCCAATAACCTGTGCCCCTCATGGTTCCTCCTGGCATCTGGATCTTGCATCGTCTTGCCCCCTTCTCTACCCCCGTGAATAGACATGGGGCAAAGTGAGATAAGGGGATAAGGGACTTTCAAGGGTAAGCCCAAAGGCAAACTCCTTCGGAAAGCCCCTGAGAGCCCCAGAATCCTGACTCTTGCCCTCCTCCCAGAGCTGCTCTCAGCCTCTCAGCCCCTCTGCTTGCCTGGGCTAGGCTGCCAAGAGCAGGACCTGGCCGTGTCCTCTCTGCCCCCAACCCATAAAGCACAGTTGATGCCCAGTCAGTGCTAACTAAAGTAATGGCAACTAGGACACCCTGGGCTTAATCTCTTGGTGGGGGGGCTAACCCCATGGTCAGGAATAGCAGGCGCTTAGAGCTAAGCCTGAGGCTCTCATGCGCCTGAGCTGGGTCCGGGGCCAGCTTCCTCAGCTTCACCCTGCCCCTAGCCCCACACGTCCCCTCCCAGGGGGTCCCCCAGATGCTTCATAAACAAGTGTGGACTGAATGTGGTTCTGCTGGCAACTTTCTGCCCCTCCACCAGCCACTTGTCTCTCCTGCCAACCCAGCCTGGGTCTCTATTTCGGCGGTGGACATGGAGGGGTAGGACTAGGGCATCCCACCCTCACCCAGCCCTGCCCCACCCCAGGGCTCACGAGGTTTGATCGTCCAGGTTCAGAAAGGTCTGTATGACAAGAGGCAGCTCAGACTTGATGATGTACAAGTAGCTGGACATGGCTGCAGGGGGGAAAGGGAGAGCAGGTGCTGGGGTCAGTTGAACTGGCTAGTTTTCAGACCTGCCCACCTGCCCACTGCCTGCTGGCTCCCTGCCCACTGGTCTCACCTCCAATGTTCTGTAGTGTGATAGCCATTGCTGCCACCAGCTTTCCTGGGGTCCCAAAGGCACGGTAGCCCAGCTGCTCATAGGCACGGATGCCTACGGGAACCGGGGGTCAGGAAAGTCAGGGCAGCTTGCTCTAGCCCACACCCCCCCAGCCCCAGCCTGTTCCAGGCAGGGTGTGAGGCTCACCCACGACCCCTGAAGACTTGAGGAGCAGGTGGATGGAGTAGCTGGAGAGCAGGGCGACGGCCGTCAATAGGAACCTAGGGAAGATGGATGGAGAGAGGCCACTGGGGGCACCCATGGCTGGTGGGGGTGGGGCCTGGGGGGAGGGACTCTAGGAGGCATGCGTGAGGAGGGTCTGTGTCTCTATCCCCAACAGGTGTGGATGCAAGGTCAGCAGGCCCCAGGATGGCAAACACCACTGTTTGACCAAGGGTAGAATGTGCCCCAGAAGGGGCCCTCTGGGTCAAGAGTGTCCCCGTGACTGCCCGCTGAGCACCTCCTCCTCTTGAGTACTTGAGACAAACATGTTTTCCATTCGGGCTGCAGGGCAGAGCCCCCAGGTAAAGGACACGAGTGCCCACACATGGTTGGCCCTGAGGGTTCGGCCACCATATGTAAAAAAGGAGGTAGAAAGACAGACTAGGCCTGTAAGGCTGGCCCTGGGCTGTGACCTCAGTGGGTTTACTGGGCAGTGAGGTATATTTGTCTGGCTGTGGATGTTGTTTCAGCCGTGGTTTGGATTTAGTGTAAGAAGTGCCCACCCACCACAGCCGGGGCCCTGGGACAGGGAACTGGAGGGTCCTGGGAGGTCATGGTTGGCAGCTTGTTTAGGGCTCCCTATCTTTAGGTTTGCTGAGGGCACTCACAGGAAAAGGACAATGCCTGTATTGGCCATGGCATAGGCAAGCCCCAGGATGCCGCTCCCCATGATAGCATTGCTGAGGTTAAACACTGACATCCCGAATGACGTCTTCCCCTCGAACTGCAGGCACCAGAGTGGAACAGTGAGGCATGGAGGCATCATGGCGTTCCCCTCGCCATTCCTCAGCCTCCCATCACCGCCCCAGAGCACCTCTTTGCTGCATCCAAGACCTCCCACATATAGCTCCCAAGCCCCTCATTGCTGCCCAGCTCACATCAGTGAAGTGTGGCTCCTTGCTGGGGCTTTTCTGTAGGAAGCCCTTGCCCTCAGCACAGCTCTGTCTGGAGTCCTCGATCCTGCAGGTACAGGTCAGGGCAGATGGCTCAGCTCCAGCCCTTTGCTCTGCACCCCTGCCCTGCCCCGTCCTGGGCTATCACTGGGTCCCTCTTCTACTCACCTCTGGATGCAGGCTGTGGGGGTGACCACTGGAAGTAGCCCCTCCAAGTGTTTGCCGTTGGGCACCAGTTCTACCATCTCTGTCTGCAGAGGCGCCTCCATGGCTCAGGGACCAGCAGCAGCAACACTACTCTCACACCGACAGTCAGAAGTCTGCAGAGCAGCCAGTCCCTCTGGTTATACCCCTCCTTGGGCCCACGGCCAACCTCCCACATGGGGCCTACAGCCATAGCACACCTCCTAGAGGATCACTCAGGGCACACACACATGCAGCTCTGCCTGCTGCCTCCCTGGGACCTGCCTTTGTTGGGGGTAGAGCTCAGACACCTGAGTTTCCCAGTTCATCCTGACAAGACACCTCAGCCAGTACGTAATGTACCCCCTACACACATACCAGCCCAGCAAGCTCTTGGGGCCTCAGTTTCCCCATCTGTGAAGTAAGCCATCATCTGATGACCTGAGTTCAGACCCCAGCAGCATCAGGAGCCTAGATACTGAGTCCCAGGCCCCCAGACCCCACTCTGGGTGTGCACCCAGGATGGACTCCCCCTCCCTGACATTAGTGCTGGGAGATGGTTTCCTGCACTGGCCCTATGTGCCAGGGCCTCCTGGCCAACCTAGAATGGCACTGCCCGACGGCTGGAGGCCTCGGGAGAGGGTGAGGGCTGTGGGCCCTGTTCCCAGCCGCCTGGCGGGCACTGCTGGCTGCCAGAACAAAGGGCCCTCTGTGGGCTGAGAGCTGGCGCTGGGAACGGCAGGCGCAGAAGCTGCCCCCACCCTGGAGCCAGGAGGCCTGAGGCAGTGCTGGTGGCTGGACACCTGGACCCTTCCCGCCTAGCTGCTGCAAAGGGCCCTCAGGGGGCCTTCCAGGAAACGGGTGTGTCAGGGCCCAGTTCTCTGGGCCACACAGGCCTTGCCCTCCACACAGTCCTGGCCTCAGGGTCTTGTTCTCCTTCAAGCCTCTCCTCCCCTGACAGGGAACCTCCAACCCTCAGGTGCCCACCATCCAGAAGTCAACCCTCTGAACAGACCCCCCATTTCCCGGAACCCGAGCCCAGGAGCTCGGGGCCTTGGCCAGTTGTAGATGAGCCTGGATCACTGGATCAGTCTCCCCTGCCCTGCTCTCAGGGCTTGGCTCTGTTGAGCCTCTAAGGAACCAGCTCCCCTGCCCCCCTTTCCTACCCACTGCCTAGACAACTTGCTGGCCAGGAGTTGCCTACCCCATGCCCAGAAGGTGACTGGGCATAGTGCCCCCAGGGTCTGTAAGGACATCCTGAGGGCCAGACTGGCCAGCAGGAGGGCTGAAGCCAGAGTGGAGGCCAGGGAAGGGGCAGCACTGCCAGGCAGGACAGCCAGAGCCTGGTTCTGCAGCCATCATGCTCCCTTTGCTTGGGAACCTTTAATCCTGCCCTGAATCCCCCATCCCTATTCCAGACCCCTGTGGTTCCAGGTCTGCTCTTGAATCTGGAGCTCCAGGGGACTCAAACTTAGCACTCGGGGCTAGGGTGAAGAGGGGAGGAAAGGCTCAGACCTCAGGCTCTGGTGCTCCGGAGGCAGCAGCTGCACGTTACTGACCAGAGGACCCTCTCCTGGCACTGTCCCAGGCAGCCACAGGCCAGATGTCAGATCCCAGATTCCTCAGCTCTGGGGGCTCTACACCTGGCACTCTTGCACCCCTCAAACTTGCATCTCTCTCCTCTGATGCTAGCGTCTGAGCCCTGCTCTCCTTCCAGCCCTGCCCACTGGGACCATGACATTGTTAATGTTGCCTTTTGAGCCCTCTTCACCTAGCCCCATGTTCCCTAGGTCAGCTTGTCCTCATGCTCCTTCCCTAAGCCTTGCCATCAGCACCTCTCCAAGGATCCCACCTTGGTGTGGAGGTGCCGGTGCCTGGTCTCCAGAGTCACTCCAGAGTGCCCCTGGCACTCAACTAGGGTTGCCCTTGCCCAGCCCCCAACCCTGGGCAGGCTGGGACAGGCCCTCAGAGTGTGCTGAGTTAGCAGCCTATACAAAGGACCCTTCTCTGCCTTAATATCCTTTCCTAGCTGCCAGGCACTGCCTCTAAGAAGACCACAGTCCATGGCCTGGGCCATGGGAGGCATCTGAGGTCCTGACTTCTGGCTCCCCATCTCTGCTGCAGGACCTCGGCCTGGACCTTTGTGGCCTGGTGGCTATTATTTATTCATGACCAGTCATTGCTGGGGCTCAGGCTGGCCTGAGATCCCAGAAAGAACATGGAATACCTCTCCTCCAGTGACCTCCAGTCTGGAAGGGACAAAACCTCCCAATACCACCGCTACCACCACCCTATAGTTCCTGCTGCAACCAAGTGAGCCACATAGGGACTCAAAAAAGGGGAGAAGGAGGCATCAAGGAAGGCTTCCTGAAGGAGGCAATGAAGTCAGTTCTAGAATTCCAGCAGGAGCCCCTGAGGTGTGGAACAGGAAAGAGTTCCTCAGACAGGGTACAGCATGGGCAAAGGCCCTGAGGTGTGGCATGAGGATGGAATGAAGGTTCCATGGCTACAGACAAACCTGACAGAGACTTAAAGGCCAGGGAAAGGAGTCTGTTCTTCAGTCTAGGGCAGGGATGAGGGCTGGGGGATGAGTGGGGATTAGTTCTGGTCTGGCATGTGGGCCCCCAGTCATTCCCTGAGGCTGCCAGCCCATTTTTGATAGCTCCCACCCCTCAGGCCTGCTGCCTCCCAGGCTGCTTTTTTTCGGGGGGGGGGGGGGGGGGGGGGGGGGGGGGGG